TCTCTGTCTCTCTCTCTGTCTCTCTCTCTCTCTCTCTCTCTCTCTCTCTCTCTCTCTCTCTCTCTCTCTCTCCATCTTATGTGTGCTTATGTTAAAAGTACTGGTAATTTATTTCACATCGATTGAATATAAAAACCCTCTGAATTCTTCAACAGAGCTCCTGAACACCTCGGACTGCAATGTCATATCAGTTGACTGGCCAGCAGGGTCTGGATGGTGGCTGCCCTCATATTATACAGCCGTATCACGCGTTCCGTATGTAGGAAAGGACACTGCTTGGCTTCTCAGAGAACTTGTAGCTTATAAGGGACTGAATCTGAAAGATGTGCATTTGATTGGCCATTCTCTTGGGGCTCATGTGTCTGGTCTCGCTTCTAAGCACTTCAAGACAAGAGTGGGGAGAATTTCAGGTTTGTAGTAGAGCTTCTAATTTGATAAAAGTGTGTTGAATATTGAAATATCTCTTCTTTTGTAGCAATTCTTCCCTCTGTTGATTTTTTTCAAAATGTTGGGGAAAATATAACTAAATTTGCTCTTATCTTAATTTTTATCATATATGGTATCCTTTGTTAACAGAATTTATAATTTTATGCTGATTGAATGGTGGAGTACAAACATGTTTCTATAAGTTTGATAGTAAAATTTGCATATTGGACTGTAATACAAACATGTTTCTATAAGTTTGATAGTAAAATTTGCACATTGGACTTTTAGGCTTGGATCCTGCTGGTCTGACATTTCACAATGTGTCTAAACAGCAGCGACTTGATAAATCAGATGCAGATTATGTAGATGTAATTCATACTAACGGTTGCTACACATTCTGGAGACCATGGACAGTAAGTGCAGACTCCAGCTAATTGGACTGTAGTATGGAAATGGTAGTGTTGTTAATATTTATTGTAAGCATTGTCATTATCATGTACTTTTATATTTAATATCATTACATGATGATACCTATTTTCATTACATGATGATACTTGTTATGATGCTTGTTGTAGTGACCTGAAAGGAAGAGGAATAAGGGAATGTCATTTATTTTACCCAGGACTGCTACGGCATCAATGAGAATTTAGGGCACAGTGATTTCTGGCCAAATGGAGGAGAGCATCAGCCGGCCTGCAAAGGTGTGTCAGGTGTGTATAAGTTTCAATCCACTGTAAGAAATTTGTGTTACTCCATGAAGGATGAGTATATTGTCCCTTATTTGCTCTTGTCATCTTTCCTCTCTCAGATTTTCCTTGGTTTTTTACTTTTTAATGTGGAAGAAGTTGGAGTATCATCTAGTTTAGATTAATTTTTTGCCACTGCAGGTGACATTGGTTGTGACCACGAACTGGCATATACCTACTATCTAGAGAGCATCAGTTATGGCATAGACGACACATACTTCCTTGCTCGTAATTGCTCAGCTTGGAATCAGTATGAAGAAGGAGAATGTCCATGCGGAGATGAGGCTCAGTACATGGGCTTTTTCGTTAATCCAGCGTGAGTGTGTTTGGTTTGGAATGTAAATTTCAACTATTATATGAATTTCATTGTATGACTTACCCCATGGGAGCCATTTATACTGAATTCTTTTTTACTGAAAGGGGCTAAATGAAAAAAATTATAAACTCAATCTCTGTGGCTATTGTATGGTTTCCTACATTAAAGTTACCACTACATCTGTGATTTGCAGAGTGACCGGAGTATTTTACCTGAACACCAGTGTCGCCCCTCCCTTTGCCATGAGAGACAGTGTTTGCAGCCCTGGAAGCAAGACCAATGATAGCTCCAACATCATCATCATAGCTTCTTCCACATCAGCTTCTGTTGTAGTTATAGCTGTTGCTGGTGCTGTTGTATTTGTTGTTAGGAGGCGGAAGCAGCAAGCTGACAGTGGCTTGTTAGTGGAAGAGGAGGGAGAGGATTGTGATGATGCACTTCTGGATGTATAGCTTTTACCTCTTTAGCAAATGGTACATGTGGAAGAACATTCCTAAACTTGCAGTTGTGAGAGTTATCTGTTATACAGATATGTTTATTTTTCCAGGAAGAAAATACTGTAATGAATGAGTAAAAATGTTTTCATGTATCAGAGCCAAAGATAGATTCCTTTTAAGAGAATTTGTGGCAATCTAGGATATAAGAAAAAAGTTTTTGCCTCCGTGAATATTAGATTTAAGTAATGAATTTTTAAATATGATAAAATCTACTTAAATGACTTTTTATGTACAAGTAACCTGAGTCATTTTTGACAATAGCAATAAATCTATATAATAATGTCAGGTTTAATAGGTTTCTACTTTTTTAAACTTATAATGATGAAGATTCTCTTTGGTGAACCTCTTTTAGATTTCTAGATTTTTATCAACAATATGATCAACAGAAAATACATATATATATATGCTATATGCTAGTATATATTTATATATGCACACACACAACACACACACCACACACACACCAACACACACACACACACACACACACACACACACACACACACACACACACACACACACACACACACACACACAACACCACACACACACACACACACACACACACACACACACACACACACACACACACACACACACACACACACACACACACACACACACACACACACACACACATACATATACACACACATGTGATTAATTTCTTTAGCTGTATATGTCCATGTTCTGTGTGCTGAAAATCATATATAATTATATTATATATATATATATATATATATAATATATATATATATTATATATATATATATATATAATATATATATATATATTTTTTTTTTTTTTTTTTTTTTTTTTTTTTTTTTTTTTTTTTATGCAGTCTTCTCAGATTAAGAGTTTATGTGTGTAGAACATGCATCCAGTTTAGTATAATGATGGGGTTTCTGTGTTAGTGTGAAAATGTTAAATGGATTAAGGACAAGCAGAAACTTCCATTCAGTTCTTGTTATAATCTTTTTCTTACAGAATTTAGACTTGACTTTGCATAGAATGTGAGAATTAATGCTGTAGCACTTCAGACCATCCTATGCTATTTTGCATTCTTTAAAAGTTAATTTTTGAAGTAATATGCAAGAATCTGTTGCCTATATTAGACTGCTGCTCTCATTAGAAGAATGGGTCTACAGAACAGTGGATGATTATAATTGTGATAATTGTAAGGAATTCTCTGTGTCTGGCATGCTGTTTCGCTGTTCAGATTCTCCCAGATATATTTCAGCTACTTCTCTGTTTGTGTTGAGTAGTAACGAGTACGGAAGGTATGATATTCCTGAAGATGTAGATTTTTTGATGGGTTATGAGTTCATATATTAAGCATACTATGTGTATTGTTAATGAGATTCAGTATTCAATGTGTTTTCTGATAACATGCATTCACTTGTTCTTCACTGATAGTATGGGAATTTTAATGTTCATGATGTGACGGCAAATATTTTGACAGATAATGAGGGTATATATTAAGCATTATATGTATAGTATCAGTGAGACAGTATTTATGTGAATTCAGTGATTCAGAAATTCAATTGTTCGTCATTGATCAGGCTATCATACAGCCACCATCCATTCATCCAGATATATAAATGCAATATGTGATTCTACTTTTTCAGTCCCTCTCATGTTCAGATCTTCTGATCCATTCAGATCCATGCACTCTCATATTCATCTTTCTGTCCATGCATTCATTCATAAGTATTCAACTGTAGTCACATTTTCTTGTCGGTTCAAGCCATCCAGATACATATAGCACTAATTACATTACACTTTGTGCCTTTCCAATCCAATGTTTGTGTGTAATGAACATACTCATTTCTGAAGGTTGTGATGTTTAGCAGGAATGAACAAGAAAAAGAAACCAATATTGAGTAATGGACATGCGGTAATTCCACTTTTGTACTCAAGGTAAAAATGAGTTATGAATTTACCTTGTTTACTTGCTTCAGATTTTATATTAATTCATTCTCTCTCTCTCTCTCTCTCTCTCTCTCGTCTAGTCTTGTCTAGACTCATTTCATCTCGCCTCGTCTAGTCTCTTCTCTTCTCTTTTTTCTCAACAGTTAGAGTAGTGGGTTTGGATAGCATTTTCTAGCTATATTCCCATTTAATGCTAGTTTTAGAGTTGTAGCCAGATTAGAGACTGGGTCACATATGTGGTCTTTGCACAAAGAATCTCTATTATGTAGTTAGTGTTGAGTAACTCTTAAAAAGGAAAGCATGAAATTTAGCAATTGTATCTTTCTTATAATGTACTGTGAATGAGGATATCTCTAATGGGTCTGAACTTGGTTATTATTCCATTGTAGTCTTTGGTATTATGTATCAAAAATATGTAATTGTCCTATTTTTCATTGGTGTTTTTCTGTTTGTGCCTTTTTATCTTAGGACCAAATGCATATATTAAATCCATAACATTACAAAGCTTTAGGATAGAAAGATAGAAAGGGGTATATGAAAATGTTCATGGAAATTACTTACCAACCAGCCGGATTATCCTCTACAACCGAATCCTATTTCAACACCAGATTTTCAAAGTAGCGTTCCAAGTTGGTTTGTAACGTAGACTGCTCAGCGTTCTAATCAAATGCAAAATGGATCTGATGCTTTTAATGTTCATGCTTTAAAATGTAACGTAAACAGTATTCCTCTCTTTCATATAATGTTTATGCAGTGTTTTGTGTTTTTAGTTCTCACATTATTAAATAAGAACATTTTTTTTTTTTTTTTTTCTAACCAAAGTACATGTATTATTTGAGTGGTGCTAATTGGTGGAAAGGCTCTCCTGTCATCAAAAACATCAAAAATTATTATGTGAAATCGATTTACACATTGAATGGTTTATGTCTCAAAATGCAGGTCTCGGCATTCTTATTTTATAAGACTAACATTCATGAGCAGACTTTTGTCAGCCATTATCCATATTTATTATGGGAAGTAGATTATGGAGATATTAGGTATTCATGCTATACAGCACTTGAGGCTTTGTTAGAAGGTGGGGAAATCCTAAAATCCTAAAACAGTTTATTGGCTTTTAGTGTAATAATGATATATTGCTAGTAGTAGTAATGGTATTAATATTCTTCTTATCATTATTATTTTTTCTCTTCATTATTAGTATTAATTATTATTTTTTCTTCTTTTTTCTTCCCCCCCCTATCATTTACATTCTTAAAATTCTTATTGTGTGTGCATTGGTTGTGTCATTCTCCCTTTTTCCTTTTTATCTTTTCTGATTTCATATTCACTGAAACTTAAGCCTACTTAAGCTAGGGTCACACTTGTCTTCTCTGTCCTGGCCAAAGCTGTATCTGGCCAGACTTTAGCGAGGCTGTCTAGGGATCCCAGGGCAGAGAAGACTAGTGTGACCCTGGCTTCAAGTTACTGCCGTGTAATGTAACCACTTATTCAAGTCATTCTGTACAATAGAAATAGACTTGTACTAAAATAGCTGTCGTAATGTACAGGCCAAGGAGGTTTGATATAGTCGGAGTCCGCATTCAGCACCAAAGTGAAGGCTTTTTCAGTTCACTTACTTGTTTTCTATGAAAAACTAATAATTGAATTCTGGTTCACATGATGTCAGCCTCAAATTTGTGTTGTTATTATGATTTTTTCTGGTATGCCATTTTATTGACTGACATAGTAGATGACAAAATGGTGTCCTACATTAAGCAGAAAGTGCTCATTAGTTTGTCCAGTAGCATAACTTTCTCTGAGCTTCTTCACACGGTTAAAGACCTATAAGTCAATCATCCTCATTAATTGATTGATGTAATTTTTTAAACTTACCTACCTTATTGTTAAGCATTTATATGTAGCTAAAAACTATACTGTAAATCTAAAAAAACAACAGGAAATTTAAGTCGGAAAATTCTCAGCAAGTTTATGCTGTTCGGTACTTTAGAAATAATGGATGCATCATACTTTACTTAATTTTAGGGTCAATTTACCAGTGGATTTGTGATAATCTACAAAAATGTGTTCATTCTATTTGCCATTAGTGAGAAGGTGAGGCTCAGTACTTCAGTCCACACCATTAACCCTACAACACACTACACTATAGGGGAAGAGAGATGCTTTCTGTATATTGAATCTCCTTGGTGCATATAAGAAATGGTAATTAATTCTTGATGTAATGTCGTAATGTAGATTTGCAGTAATCATGCACTTAGCTTAACATACTTTTCATCTTTCTTTGTCTTTGCTTTAAGAGTTTTTTTGTTTGTTTGTTTGTTTACAGTTTCAATCATCCTCATGGATATTAGTCATGAAATCCTCAGTTCTTTCATAAACTCATTTATGGACAAATATACATACCCATCATATGTGGGTATTACACAAGCTCACAGATTCACACAAAGGCATACACACACACTCATACTTACACACATTCATTTGCATTTACAATGCAATATTTTATATATATATATATGGACATTACAGCTGTAATGTATGAATAAATTACTGAAGATATCATACTACTTTTTCTTTAGAACCTTTATGTGAGTACTACATGTCCATTTCTATTAATTTTTATGCATATGTAAATAAGACCTTATGACTCTTTTGATTGACCATTGCATTCAGGGTCCCCTCCCAGTACCTTGCTTGTTGTTGTTGTGGGAGGGCTTAGGAGACAGAAACTGAGGCCCAAGGTAGGGGATCACCCATACCTTGGGCCTCAGCCCACATCTCAACTAATTTTGCTTGGTCTTTTCTTCTCTCTTTTCCTCTTATGTATCTTCTTTATCCCCTTCTTCTATCCCATTCCTAAGGTGTGAGAGCTGTGCTGAAAGGATGAAAGGCTGGCTTGGTATCAGTCATGAAAGGCCTCTGGGAGCCATAGGCACGGTATTCCCTTGATTAATTACCTAGCCCATACCCCTTATGGGGACCCTGAGGGGTAGACCGTTTCATTTCCCCAGTTTATTCAGGCTCACCGTAGCCATAATGAAGATTCTTTACCCTTAATAGGGCATTTAAGGCTTGCCCCTTCATCAACTAGCCTATATGCCCCTCCTTTGACCACAGCTCCAACCACTGATACTAATACCCCCTCCTTGATGCTTACTGACAACTCTATCCATTCCAAAACACCCACCCAGGATATTACTCAACTTCCAGAAAGCACCCCTTTCTCTCTCCCAACATTCTCCTCTCCATCTCCTACTGCAGTCCTCGTCAATGTCTACCCCCTCTTCCCGTATTACTACTCATCATCCTTATTGTCTGCCCCCCCACAGAACTACACCACCCCATCTTCCTCTTGCCCTTGCCCTTTTCCTGCCTCTACCTCTGCAAACCTTTTAAGTACTGTCTTTAGCCAGCCAGGTGGGATCAATTCTTTGTGATTCCCCTCACAGCCCCTATTCTGAGAATACCCTTCTCTTTCAACAGTGCCTCTACAAACAAATAGGCAAAGTAACCTT